ATATTAACAATTGCTGCTTTCCCCTGACACTGCACTATAGCAATATAATCACAATGCTGGTGATTAAAACACCTTAATGTATTTAGTGCTTTGAAATGCATCTGAACATTTCATTTATTTAATTCATTGCCTTTGTTTAATGTTAGATGTCTTTAATATACTCAGTGTTCTTTCAATATGTGATAAAGTCTTAGAGGTCAGGAATCAAGTGATTAACACAGTATTGGTTAAAAGACATCCTAACTATAGGGATGATAATTGAAAATTATGAGAACTCCATGTCTTTGCTTAGTGCTCCAAAGATTGATTCGGCTCATGCTCTTTGGCACCTTCTAAGTATAAGGCTTTATGCTATGCTCAGTGGGAAGTACATATCCAAACCGTGTTATCAAAGGCCTTAGAGACTGCAGCTAGATATTCAGCTTCCAAGCCCAGAAGAAAGTTAAAAACACAGACTTCTTCGGGGACTCCTGCAAATTATACTGGGTGAAGATCATTATGAGGCCTGATGACAGCCTTGACGACTACATTTCCAGAACAACAGGAACTGGCAGGGTTATAGATCTTAGGATGCTGTCATTTTCCCTTCTGCTCCTCTCCTAGCAACAGATGCAATTACAGGGAATACTTTCGAAAGTGGGGTTCATCAGCTATCTTAAAAGGTGGAAAATTTTATAAAGGGTGAAAATTGTACCCTAAAATATCTCAAGGCTATGAAAACCACCGAGAATCTTTGAGCTCTGTGTTTAAGATCTTTAAATGATGTGTAACCGGAAAGAAGATCTCCACTACATAATTAGCTTCACCTTCACTATTTCTCAGAGACATAGACTCTTTATCATATTCTTTTATTTCCTCATTCTTTGGGGGGAAATTCTTAAAAAAATGTTCATACCTTTATCTTTTGGACTTGTATTCATTGATGGAAAATTTTACAAAAATTGATTCACTTTGAGGTGAAGAGAGAAGTTATTTCTAGTATATATAAGAATTATTCTAAATTACATCTAACTGCTTGCGTGATTGATAACAAAGCCAAAATATTAATGAGGAGAAATCAAATTTTGTCTGAAGTTGCTGGAATTTTTTTTGTATTTCAAGTAGAATGGCACTAAATAGTGGTCTGAAAAGAAACCCATCATTTATGCTCTGAATGTCTGACAAATTAGGAATAATGCCTGTTACACTATGCAGGTCACAGCCTGTCAGGTAAGCATTTCTCACCACATGGCAGCGACAATGCATATATTAGCTATGTAAATGTGAAATCTACACACAGTTTCCAGGTTAGAATATGTTTAAAGAAATCTGGGCATAAATAATGCGTACTAACACCAAAGTTGATTCTGCATTGTCTGGGCAGCCACAAATTATTTATAAGGAATCAGAAGCAAGATTCTTTAGGCAGATCTAATGAACTAATGGATGCTATCACTAAGAAATTGTGTAAAAAATAGTATTAGGTTATTTTTTGCTAACAAAGTAAACTCCTAAATCTCAACTATTGCAGTGGTGCTATAGTGGTGAGCATAGCTGCCTTTTAAATCTTAATTGTGAGCTATAAAAATAAGTTAGAAAACAACTTGCCCATGTTGTTCAGTGTGGGATGGATTTCATGATGTGTTTCCTCTTTGTTCTTTTGCTAAACATCACATCGAGCCAAGGTGTTTTAATGTGGAGAAATGAACAAATTCTCACAGATGAATGATGTACAATTGTTGCACATTAGGTGGCCTAGCTGGACTTGCCTTTCAGGAAAGGTTTTAATATATAGGTATAAAAATACATATTTTTGGGTTATATTTAAAAATCAGGCTCAAGGAGCAGATCAAAGGAAAACTAGCTTCTCTTCTTGGCTCTTCCACTGGTAATCTGAATGACTAAACTCAAGCAAGCAGTATTTCACCTGTCTAGGCACCAGATTCTTCATCAGTATAGTCTGGCCTGCCTATTTCACAGGTTTCTGTCAGAAGTTTCAAACAAGACAACGGGTATAAAAGTATTTTACAAACAGAAAGTGACTCAATACATGTAGAAAATTAAAATCTAATTTCCCAAGAGCCTTTTTGACCACCTCCAGACATATGACTCTATATGGCATGTGAGTATGTATATGGGAGCGCATTCATGCATAAAAAATAAAAGACAACTACATATGTTGTCAATTTCCAGACTTGTAAAACTCAGCAGCTTTTGAACTCTGCCCATATTTCCAGTGTTCTAGTCTTCTGGTTTGAATATTTAAAATAGCATAGTAGAATGTGTATCAAAGGAAGGAGTTGATTCCTCCCCAAATCCTTATGAATACTCCAGCCAACTTCTAGCTACTTGGATTTTAATTGAAGGGCACTTGTATTAGCTGGTTTGTTGATCACTTCATCTTGGAAGTGCAGAATATCATTCACATTTGCAGAAATCACATGTGCTTCAAGTGGCCACCTATGAGATGTGCAACAAGTGCCCATCTAGTCAACATTAAAATGAAGTCTAAGCCAAAGTGTTTAGGTTTTACTTAAGCGACAGGTAGAACATGATCACAGATTGTATAGAGAAATGTGGGGGGAGAAGAAGGGGCTGGAAGAGACAGTGGAAGCCTTCCCAAGGGCTTACTGCCTATTTCACGGGAACAAGCTCCGAGTCACTGTGGCTTATGAAACTTATTTTAAAGCTCAGAATAGCAAACATGTGAAAGCAGAACTATAGATTCTGTGTTGCTAAGCAAGGAGGAGCCCAAGGTTCACAACTGCAAGGAGTTTCACCCATCTTAGAAAAAAGGTCTCTAAAAGTTAGTAAGGAAAACATGGTACACATTTTAGCAAAATCTAAGTAAGTCATATTGATTCTTTTGGGTAAGAAAGTTATACAACATTATATATTCAAGAGGAAAGAAAGAACCCAACATTTCACTGACATATGAATTAAGTGCTAGATTACTTCAGAATCTGTTTATAATTATTGGGTAAAGGGCAAAGGGAAATTGGGCGAGGAGACTTTGGTCTAGTTATTGTTGTAGTTATCCTTTTTCTGAGCAGCAATGGAGCTCCCTAAAGGTAAGCACTTTCCTCTGGGCAATGATAAAATATAACTTACCTCTTTTGCTTTCTAAAAGAGAAGAAAAATAAATAGTGAATTGAATAAACACTAAGAAAGTCTGAAATATGAACTCATAAAGATCAATTTATCTTCTTCTAGGTTTATATTCTCCTTCAAGAGACTGGAGAAAATCTGCTTTGGAAACCCTGACTGACCTATGATGGAAAAAACTCAGATACTAAATATCAGATTCTCTAGAAAACCAGCCAAGCCAGAGCAATCTGTAATGAAGACAACTATCTATAAGCTCTGCATCATGCCAGCACCCCACATGCAAAGATGCAAAGAAAAAATATAAAAATTAAAATATTAAATACCTAGAAAATTAATAGATTTTAGTATACATTTTACTATTAACCATAAATTTTATATATTAAAATAATACCTTAAAAATCTATAAAGTTAAAGTATCTATAAAGGAGAGATATATTCAGAATTCAAAGATCTATTGGAAATTTGGAATGTTACAGCTCAGCTGGAAATCCAATAGAAGATTGGAAAATACAGTTGAGGAAATTATTCAGAAAGTACAGTAAAAAGAGAGAGATGTAAATAATAGAAAAAGAGAAGAAAACTAGAAGGTCTGCTCAGATTTTCTGAAATCATAATAAAGGCATTCCAGAAAAAGAGAAGAGAGAAAATGGGGACTAGAATGGGGTAAATCCTCAATGACATAACTCAGAAAAATTTCCTAGACCCAAAGGACATGAGTTTGCCAACTGAAGAGCCCACTGAATTTCTGCAGAACAGAAAAACATAATGAAAATGGTGTACATCATTAGGGAAGTCCAGATTGCTGAGATAAAAAAGAAGATCCCACGTATCTGTAAAGAAGAGAAAATTTCCAAGAAAGTGTCAAGAATGAGAATGGCCGTGGTTTTCTCAAGTCACACAGGGAGCCAGAAGGCTGTTAAACTTTGTCTTCCAATTCTGAAGGACATTTGTCCAATTTAGAATTCTACATGCCATCTACCACCGAAGAGGACAGAACCAAAATGTTTCCAGAACAACAAAGTCTCCAAACCATTGTTTCTACTGAAGAAGGTCCTGCAGGTTATTTTCTGCCAAATAAACAACAATGATGACAAGTGCAGGGAGTACTGAGGAAAGAGGAAGATGTAAAACCAAGGAAACTAGAGACCCAAAGCAGGAGAAGCCAGCTAGGTCTGTTGCCAGCTGTACCACAGCTTGTAGAGCAGCCCGGCCAGGAACAGGCCAAGGCCTCAGCAGGGATTTCTTCAAGAGGTTTAGACTGATGAAAATCTAAAAGGTTGGATTGTGTCAAGAGAAGGTTTACACAGTTGGGGAAGGAACAAATCCTTAGAAAACAAAGCAAATGAAAAGCAAGGCAATAATTAATTCCAGGGAAAACAAAAACTAAGGTTGGAAAGGAAAAGAAATTACAGTGCAGTGTCTGACACAGCTGTGAACCCTATTTACATGAACCACACTGCAGACTGTTAATATTGGTCCAACCAAAATTACAAAAGGACAATCTAATCATCTATTATGGAAAGTCAATAAATAATCCCTTAACTAGAAAAACAAGAAATGGCAAAACAAGCATGTTATTTCGAGATATGGAAGAAAATTCCAATATGATTGGCTAAAGAGGTGCACCTGTGTGATTATGTACATCAGAAACATATCTAAGAGTGGATGTGGGACATTAATGACTTCCTGGGTGAACAAGACAGTATTTTTTTAAGCCATTAAATGTCAGGTTTTCTCTTGAGTGTTGTGGAACCTATGCCTCAGTGACACACACTCCAGGAAGCAGAACTTCTGGCTTTGTAGAAATTCTCCATTTTAATAAAATTTCTACTTTTAATCGCTCTCATAATTCATACCAAAGGAATCGCCTCAGTTACCTTGCAGCTACCACAGCCCTCCATGGTAACGGTCCGCATCCAAGGAAGGCACCCTATTCCCTAGTGCTCGGGCTCTACTTCCGCTCCTTTCTGTGACCTGTCCCTCTGCTCCCACTACCCATTCACTATGCCCTTCGCCCCAAGCATTATGAAATCAATTACTTATTACACTGCTAAGTAACGTCACTGCCTCGAATCTCTTCCTCACTTGGGCCTCGGGAACGGTGGCTCATCCATCTTCATTTCAGTGCAAGATCCAAATGCCTAGGTCTTAAAGTCATCATGACCTAAAACCAGGTCTAATCAACTGTAACCAGAAGAAGGAGAAGACATTTATGTCCGTTTCCTGCATATGGTGGAATCATTTTCTTTGGCAGAAACATGTCTCGTTCTTTTCTTGTGTCAGGCAGCAGAGCGGATCACAGGACTACACTGGGCCAGGGCCGAGGCAGACAACCTGGCAATCTCGCTATTATCCCCATCCCCCTCCTGGCCTCTTGGCTGGAGGCAGATTTTCCTTCCCTCCAGGAAAAACCCTCGTTCTTCTGCACGGAGTGCACTGCCCTCGCACAGGCTTTGATTCAAAGAGTAAATATCCGTCATTGCGCCAATGGTAACAGCAATGCCAGAAAACTCTCTTGATACTAGAATTATTTTTCTCTTCCCTCTTTTTTAGGAAACTGGTGTATAAATTTTTTGATTTATTTCTCTGTACAGTTGCTTGCTTCCAAACAAATCAGACACTAACTTTCCACCATGGATATTCAGCTATAGTATTTTCTATTTTTTGAAATGGACCAACAAGGAAAGACAACCAGACATACTCTACCATAGTTAACTAAGTATTTTTAGTTATTACCGAAAAGAGATTTTAAAGCTTAAAACAAAAACTATATTGACTCAGCATTAGTGTTCAATTATTTCTACTTTTAAAAATCATATGCAGCCGGGGATTTAGCTCAGTGGCTTCACCGACTGCTGCGCAAGCACAAGGACCCGAGTTCGATGCCCCATACCAAAAAAAAAAATTAAATTAAATTAAAAAATAAAATTAAAAATCATATGCAAAAAGATTTTCAAAAATAATTATCGATGAGAACTTACTTAAAAGAATATGAGAATTGAAAACTCAAAGTAAATTGATTTTCATTATACCTCTCATTATTACTTTCTAAAATATATCCTGCTTGTAGGACAACAATGAAACCAATCATGCCTAAATAAAAATATACTGCTTTCATCTAAAAAATGGCAAAGTGTAGAGCAACCTATCATTTTTACCAGGTGCATAAAGTCGTCTAGAAAGGGCCGGGTTTAATCACAAGAGGTACTGTAAAACACAGTGGTGACATCCCTAACCTAACTCATGCCTACATGAGCGATTGGTACATCTCATGAATTAAACATAAGTCCTGATTTATGTTCGGTTATCCCTCATATCAAAAACTACAGTAGCAGAGCTGTGCCACTGTGAATCCATTTAATGATATTGATGAGACAGCCGGCGCAGAGACTGCAAAGTACCTGCCAGTGCGTAGCACAGCCCTATAAATCACTTCTGCAGAGTGGTTAAGCAATAAATAACAAGTCATTAATTCACAGTATATTATGCTAAGAAGCTCAAACTACATATGTACCAGATTGTAAATAAATGCCTGTGAGACAATATTTGAAGCAAGTAATACTTGGCATTAAAACAATTTTTTAAGAGCAAAAATTCATTGAATAGGATTAATTCATTGTAGATTTCCCTTGGCAGACATAAACCAACACAGGGTTTTGTTCAGTAGACCCCAAAACTTCTTTTCTTCCAGGGGGAAATACACGTCAGACATTAAATCCAATGGAACTCTTCTTGGTAATCAAATTGTGAATCTACTCAGTAAGTACCATAAAGCCTTTGCATGAGCTAACAGTACTTCTGTAAAGAATATGCTTTGGAGAATGAAGTGAGTTATTCAAATGGTTCACCCAGTATCCACAGAACCCGCAGAAAATGGGATGGAAGCCAACTGTGTTCTCCCACGAATAAGAAATGTTGGCCAACCTCCTCCACCCAGTCAGCTGTCTTCTGTTCCGCACCCTGACCATCCTTTTCCCAGGGTCCTCAGAAACTGAGTTCCTGAACCTGCCAGGAAGTCACCACTGCCCTGCCCCACGCTTGTGCAGTTCCCAGCAGCACCCTCTTCTGTCCTGCCCTGCCCAGGCCTGCTTCCTTCTTCCCCCGAGACCAGTGAGCAACTAGGTCTGAAGCAACCTGACTGAAAGTGGTGGCTCTAAGGATAATGACCTCACTCTTCCTAAAATTCAAAAATGCATTTTTAATTAGTATACGTTTTGCAACACACCACGATCACGTTGCTTGTGGGGAGTTGGTACGTGCACATGACACATCTTATTTCTTTTTTCATTCCCTTCCCCAACTCTCCTTCCCCTTTCCCTTTCAGAAGGAACTATCTCCCTGCTTCCTATTATTTATCTTTTACTTTGTTCTTTATTTACACTTTGACTTTCTCAAATAAGAGAAACTATGAGGTACTTAATCTTCGGTGTCTGATTTATTTCACTTAATATTATGGTCTCAAGGCATATCCATTTTCCTACAAAGGACTCAAATTTACCCTTCTTTATGGCACACTAGTACTCCACTGTTTGTAAATACCACAGTTTTTTTTATCCATTCATCTGTTATGAACATATAGATCCTTCCAAGAGTTAGCTATTATGAAGTGTGCTGCTATAAACATAGGTCTGTAGGTATCATTGTAATATGCTGTCTTTAATGCTTTTGGGAAGACACCTAGAAGGGGAATAGCTAGGTTGAATGGAATTTCTAGTTTTGTTTTTTTGAGAAATCTCCATACTGATTTCCACAGTGGTTGTACTAGTTACATTCCCACTAATGGTGTAGAAGGATTCCACTTTCTCTGCAGCCTTGCCAGGATTTGTTGTTATTTGATTTCTTGATGGTGTCCATTCTTTCTGGAGCAAGAGAAAATTTTAGTGTTGCTTTAATTTCCATTTCCCTACTGGCCAGAGATGTTGAACATTTCTTTATGTATTTATTGACCATTTGTACTTCTTCTTCTGAAAAGTATCTATTCATCTCAGTTGCCCATTTCCTGATTGGGTCTTTTATTTGGGGGGGCTTTAATTTTTTTGGGTTTTTTATAGATTCTAGGTATTAGTCCTCTGTCTAAGGAATAATTGGCAAAGTTTTTTTTCTATTCTGTAGGTTGTTTCTTGACTCTGTTAAGAACCTCATGCTTTCCCCTTTGAGATTTATTTTTGTCTCTAAAATGGATATACTATCATTTAGACTGCTTATATTACAGGGTTATGGAAATAAAATACTGTACATGCAAAAACTGTAAGATAAATGAAGATTATTATGCGGCTCGCTGTAGCTAAGAAAGAACAGAAGAGAAATGCAAGGTCTTTGGCAGGAGAAGGCTGAATGTCAAGATGCCATAGTTTAGATCTGAAATGAGCCCTATAGGGCCATTAAAGTGTGGCCCTCATCCATGTCACTATGGGGAGGTGGTGCAGCCTCAGGAGAGGGAGTGAGGTTTTCTGGGGCTGCCCTTGAAGAGGATTTTAGGACCCCTGCCCCTCTGTCTTTACTTCCCAGATGCCATGAGATGAGCTTCCTGTCATGATCTGCCTTGCCACAGGCCCAAAAGCAATAGGGCCTGCCTACCGTGGTCTGGAACATGTGAAGTTGTGAGCCAAAATAAACCTTTACTCTGAAAAAAAAGAAGACAGGAACCTCACTGTGCATCAGGAAACAGGCCTGTAATCTCAGCTACTAGCTACTCCAGAGGCTGAGGCATGAGGACCACAAGTTTGAGGACAGCTGGGGATGTAGCTCAATGGTAAAGCACCCATGGGTTTGACTCATAAAATCCTCATTTACTGCTTCAGCCAGGTGAGAGAGATATTTTGAGGGAAAGGGTTATTTTTGTTTTTGTTTTTATAGCTTGCTGGGCAAACGCAGTGGCACGCCTGTGTAGGCTGAGGTATGAGGATCACTTGAGTTGAAGATTTCAAGGCTAGCCTAGGTAACATAGTGAGACCCCCTGTCAAAAGTCAAAATAACAACAACAACAAAATATTGTAGCTTGTAGCTGACTAGCACTGGGTTTTCCTGGGTTGTAGGGCATTTGCATACACACGACAAAGACTAATCTTTTTCTTTTACTTTGTTTTATTTAGATTTGAGTCTTATCATCAAAGAACTCCAAATTATCTCTCATGACCAGCGGGTTTATCTGATCCTTTTTGCAGAATCTGAATACAAAGGTACTAATTACAGTAACATTTTAACTGCATTACATTTCACGCTTATTTCTAATTCCCTGGTTACTGTCGCCTTAGGTCTCTTTTATCATTATTACTTTCTAATTCTAGCTTACCTAATATCAAAGATTAACACTGCTTCCTTTCTAGATATATCCTCATTAATTTCCACACCTTTTCCCCCTATCATCTCCCAGCAATCTGTAGGGACCCTCTGAATTTTGTCTTATTCCTCATTGGTATTTGTAACAAACATCTCTCCATTTAACATCATCTGAGAATGTAATTAACTTGCTCTTCTCTGTTTGAGGGCAGTGATGAAGACATTGATGTGGAGTGACACTGGTGTCTCTGGAAGGACACTAGAAACCTTTTCTCCTTCTACACATGTAACCAATTTTCTCCTGTGATCCTCGGCTCCCCCCAATATACCCAAATCCTTGTCAATTTAAAGTTCTTTAGTAACACCTCATGGGAACTGAGAAAAGATACAGCCAAGTGGCAATGTTTTGTGTTCTTATCATTCGTAACACCCAGGATTATCAAGATGGCATACACTTAAGCAATTCTTCATGATTTTTTCTGAAATAAATTAGAGAAATGCTAAATAAAAGTAGCTTTATCTTCATATGGAAAAACAAAGGCAGATAAAAGTCACATTAGAACTGTAGTAAGTCAACTGATTTATTTAAACTTGTACTTAAGGAGAGGATATTTATTGTTTTTAGAAGTCAGTAGGGATATGCACAATAATGTTTCATGAACTGGATTTTCTACATGAGCAAATTTTCCAGATGAGTCTAGACAATTGAAGCTTTAAGCCATGGTCACAGGAAGGAAATCTTAAGCACTGGATACGAGTAATATTGTATCAGGAAGATACAGTTATTTGGGTTTGAACTTGATCCTGAAAACCCAGATTATAATGTCATGTTTTATACAGATTAATAAATCCAAATGAAGCATCTTCATCTTCATCATTAAGCAAGGGTCACTGCTGTGATGATTAAGTGAGAGGCTTCACTGTCCATGCTATGCCACTAATGAGAGGAAGCCAGGCAGCAGAAGCACGCGCTCAGCTGCGATGCCCAGGGAACAGGGGCCAAAGGGTCTGCAGAGAGAGTGAACAGGGCAGCAGGAGTCAGGCTCTACTGCAGCTGTCACCACCTTGCTCTATGACGCTGAGCTCACCTTTCTGGAACTGTTTCTTCTTTACAATGAGTCGTCTTTCTAGCTACCAATGGAGCCTGAAGTTATGCCAGGCCAAAGGATTACGCTCCTATCAATGCACCCACTTGGCAGTGTTCCTAAAAAGGTAGCGTTTTTCCAAGTAAATTTACACATCTTTGACTTGCAAAGTCAATTAGGGATGAAAGAAGGTATAGAAAGAAACAGAAGCAATCTGTAAGGTAAAGCAGAGACGCACTGAAATGTTTTGCTGACTGATTTTCCATTGTCGACTCACAGCAGTCCAATTGGCATTTCAACAACTTTATATACTGAAAATATTTGATCGTGAAAGTGATTTAATTTCCAGAAATGCAGACAACCATTACTATTTCAGAACCATTTCTTGGGTCAATTTTGCTATGGAATTATTTTTTTCCTTTTTTAAATGTTTATTTGAGAAATTGAGCTCGTGGTCATATAATTATGTGTTGGCTAATACTTGATCTTATAAAATTTTACATATTATGACATAAAGTTTTACTCTTTCCAGGCAAACACATTAATCTTTACCCTGTGTTGAAATTTCTAAGGCACGCAGCTGGGTGGAAACCTAAGATGTGATTTTCCTTGGTTTTTAAAGTCGTAAGTTTGCAGTATTCAAAAATTTATCTATAAAAATTTCAATGTATTACTACTATATTTTCAATTTTAATTAATTTAACTTGCCAGCAATTCATACTACTTCTTGGTCAAATACGATTATTGGACATTGTGACAATTTCATATTTAAAAATAAAACTTTATTTGTGGATTCACATGCTAGACTGAGGAAAGTCATTCTTGTGAGCTGAAATGCTAATGACACACTCAGTAGTCTCTCTTTGTGGGCCCAGTATTTATCCCCAAAGACTAAAAGTGGCATACCAAAGCATGTTATGTTGAAAATCTCCAGGAGAAAGCAGTAGTTCTCACAGACATGATTTAAAAGTCTTGTACATCCCCAACACTGCTACACTGAAGAGCTCTGTGTAAAGGGCTCCAATCAACAAATACATTTTTTCAGATAGCTGATATTTAAATCCTATGATTGAATCATTCACAAAACACTTATTTTTTTAAGTCCAGGAATGTACAATGTCCTGTAAATTAAATTGTTGTATGTCAAGTCTGCTAAAATAGGGGAAAAGTTCTTAAGTTTTATCTTCACTTTCTCAATGCAGAAATAGCAGAAGGGAATATAACTTTCAAGATAGGTTTCCTTAAATTAAAAAAAACAAGTGAATGTAATCATCTTTTAATATATCTAAATATATAGAAAGATCAATATGTAGGAAGTTACCTTCCAAAAGAACAGTGTGATCTACAGTGGTTCCTGAGTTACCTTTCTCTGGAAACACACACACACACATGCACAACACACAACCCACAAAATACGCAAAAATATATGCCACACACACACAATTTTCCAAGGCTGTCCTGCAGCAGTGACAGAATATAGGCCTTACACAGAAATAATTTTACCTGGCGGGTGTGGTGGCACACAACTGTAATTCCAGCACTTGGGAGGCAGAGGAAGGGAGAAAAATCGCTGCAAGTTTGAGGCCAGCCTGGGCCACACAATGAGTTCAGGGCCAGCCTAAACTAGAGTGAGATCTTGTCTCAGAAAAAAACCCAAAAAAGAAAAAAAAAAAAAGAAATAATTTTGCTGAACATCTCAACAACAGTTTCAGGACCTGCTGATTCTGTTCTTTTTCCAGTGGGCCTTGAGGGGCTTCCTGGAACCAGGGGATCAGGTAAATCACAGCGGTACTGCTGTCTTTAAGGCAGTCCCTCACTGCTCCTTGAGTCTTCCTCTGGGAACAGGTCTGGTACCTCAGACCATCACTTTGTAACCCAGCTCAGATGATTTTTTTCTTGCTTACATGTCTTCAGATCTGTCGACATATTAATGCTAATTTGGCCACTCTTCTGTTCACTCATGTGTATACTATCACCCTACAATTTATGCTCATCAGGTTGGTATTTTGCTCCCCAGGAAAGTCTAGCATCACCTATAAACTTGAAAATTTCACTGTAAATTCTCACTTCTAGGAGATTTTTGAATCAATGGATTAAGACCAAGGGCAGGCAGATATTAAAAGAAGATATACAGTGATTCAAACGTGTGGCTAGCCCTCTCTGTTTCAGCCACTGCTCCATATTCAATGAGAGTGACTTGAAAGATTCTTCTAAATGGCAAAAAGAGTTCATACTAATTATGTTCACACTTATGCTTCCATGATACCATAATGTCTAAGAATACATCTCTAGGGTTTCCTTCAGGAAAGGCTTAAGGATATATAAAGTATTTACTTTCTTAGTGAAGACTAAATAGAATATGGAAAAATAGATACATAAAAAAATGCCATAAGATATTATTAATAAAAAGAAAAAATATATGTCACCACCTGCGACAGTTTTAAAGGCTCAGCTAAGGGCCTAAAATCATTAAATAAATGAGAATTTAGAAATGAAGATTTACATAATAAAGCCAACTCTCATTTACTGGTGGAATTTACATTCTATATTTTTCTAACAAAATAAAGATGGGACTATTGTATTCAAATTATATAGTTAAAGTTATTTTTAACAAACACAAGCTGCAGAATAAGTGGCTTACTCCCTAGTCACTAGTTAGCTGCAATTTGGTAAGGGAACAGATGTGTTGCTTTCAATTGGATTAATTTGCCTTATAAAGCAGAAGTTTTAAGGGCATTTATTGAAATTTTTCAATGGAACAGAAAATACTGCAGCCTGACAGACAGTATTTCCTTAAGTGATGACTGGTAATTGGAACAATGATTAGGAAACTGACATTTACCTTAACCTATAAGTAATTATCAAGCACTACTACAGAGAACCAACACCAATAAATTTGAAACCTTAAGTACCATATTGGTCTTTGTGATGCTGGCCTCAAGGAAACAATCAGAATGATGGTTGGTTGGTTGGTTTTTAAGCACTGGAGATTGAACCTAGGGTCTTTGCACTGAGCTACATCCCACCCCCATTTTTATTTTGAGATGGGTCTTGCTAAGTCACTAAGTTGCCCACGCTAGGCTCAAACTTGTGGTTACAGGCATGCACCACAATGCCTAGCTAGAAGCGGTTTTATCCATATGCTTGTCACTTTATCAGCTTGACTTCCTAGTTAACTTTAATATGAAAATGACTTTTTTTGCTGGGTGTGGTGGTGCATGCCTGTAATCCCAGCACTTGGGAGGCTGAGGTAGGAGGATCGCCATGAGTTTGAGGCCAGCCTGGGCTACATAGTGAATTCAAGGCCACCCTGAATTACAAAGTGAGACCCTATCTCAAAAAAAAAAAAAAAAAGAAAGAAAATGATACACTTTTATAAAGCATGTACAAAGAACATTAACTACACAGTTATTCATCATGGTCTATAATAGTGAACAATGGAAGCAAGCAAAATGTCCACAAATAAGAGATGGACTACATATTTTATAGTACAGTTATGTAATAGAATAGTATTTGGATGGTGTTTAGATAGATATTTATTGGGGATATATTTGTAAAGTTT